GGACCACTACCCCCATTCGTTCTATCACATCGAGTCTAGGTGTCACCATTCCTACATTTTTGAATTTTTCTAGGACACCTACACTATTCACTGCACATACAGGTGCACTCACCCTGAATGCAACGACCGGAGTGCAAACTATGATGGTCGGAAGCCCTGCTACGCCAACAATGCCTCAATCATTGAACGCAGGCCACACATCAGCTATCTTCACTGATGCTGTGACAACAGTTACAACCCCTGTAACTGGTGCCATTATCCCCGAAGACATCCTCGTATATCTGAACAGCTTTCTAGAGTCTACCATTAAGCCATGGGTGCATGAAGCAATAACCGCTAATGCACAAGACTCTGGAAGTACCCCAGTTGTTCAGAATATACCATCCAAACCCCAGACAACACAGCCCCCAACCATTTCCATACCTGTTTCCAAACCCTTAGCCATAGAAAACCAACAACCATCCACATCAAGGGGAACCCAGGATACAGAACTAGTATTCTCCCCTACAACGACCAAACCCAACCTAACAACTGTACCCTTCGAGGATCTTGTAGCTGAGATCTACGACCGTATACTAGACGTGGAAGAAGGCAACCTCACCCCTCTTCAAAAAGCCCTTCTCCATGCTCTAGATACACAGAACACTTGCCGTGACAGTCTCCGTGGCGCTAAACGTTCACATGAGGATCCTGATGATTCGGATTCTCATGAGGGGGAGAACAAGCGCCAGCGGATACTTGAGCATGTTGCTTCTACTAGCCAACCCTCAAAGCCAAACCAACCCTCTACCTCCACCAATGAGCAACCCACTACTTCAGCTAGCCATAAATCCCTAGCCACTCTCTCTAGCATGGTCGAGCTAGACATAACATCCCGAGGTGCATCTCCTATAGATGTTAACCAAGGACGGAATGGAAGTCCTGATGATGCTACCACGAGTACATCTTCTTATTCAGGCCATCAGCTAGAACCTAGTTCGAAACTGATGTCAACGGGCAATCCTGAGGATCCCGGTGTTTCACACGATGAGTCACCTTCGACACAGCAGCAAGCTCCCTCTGAACCCTCTGACAATCCAATACAAGATGAGCTTGAAGATCTTCTAGTTCATGATCAATGGCCTCCTAAATGGACAGAGTGGGATGACCTTAGAGTGGAAGCCGATCAGTACGAAATGTGTAGAAGCTGGCATCTCAGAGAGTTCCTCAATAAATACCATGCAATGATGATTGGACTCGATAAAGACGAACTCAAGGAAGAGGAGAATCAAAAAGAAAACCTCAAGGAACCAGAACCAGCTAAAGAAAAATGGGAAATCATAAGGATCAAAGCCCCCTTTCTTGAAGAAATTCGAGAGAAGATTTGGAGACAACCAGAAAAAGTCAAGCAGTTCAGTGAATTAAAAATGCGAGGAATCAATCACTTGAAAGGAAAATATAGAGGAGGAAATCTGTATATGCTAGGACATAGATCCACAGGGCAACGTCGACAAGTTCTAAATCACAACCTTGCAACAAGTGGATGTCCCATATTGAAAATCTTGGAGATTACAGAAGATCACCTGGAGACAATTAAGTTCATGATTTTTCGTCTACAACGTACTGATGGCTCGGAGTTCACCTGTCAAGAGAATGACTTCTTTCTACTGCACATGGATGACATTTATCAAATGTTCATGAGGTGCAGGGAGCTTCCAGTTCACAAAGACAGACTCGCTAAAGAAGGCTTCGAGGCGATAAAAAGATTCATGACAAGACAAGTTCGGTTCTACGCCTCTCATGACCTCCAGATGACCATAGAGCACAACTATTCAAAGGTGAATCTTACTAGACTGGACTTGAGTAGACCTGGCCTTGAATCCTTTGAAGCATATCATATCTTTGACAATCCAGTATCAGTCATCTATCTGAATCATAACAACGAGAAACGTCTAATGTTCGTGGATGAAATTAACAAGTATTGTGACGGAACGTTGAAGATCATCCAGGAGCAGCTCCGATCAAAGAAACAAGAACTTGGACAGAAATCGACTGAAGCCACTGAAGGAGAGCAGAAGGAACTGCACAGAATTAACAATATTCTACAAGCCATTGAAAAGCAACTTGATAGAAGAAACTCACTCAGAAACTATGAGCACGCACTTAATCTCAGAAAGAACTATTACAAAGCTCAGAAGTGAAGAAACCCAGCAAGACGGCACTTGACCACAAAGGGGGAGATTGTTAGAACTTTTATTGTGGGTCAAGTTTGTCTGTAATGTCTTGTTTAAATAAAGTAGACTAGTTATACCATTTATGGTATTAGATTAGTATTTATTATGTAGCAAATAAGGTAAAGGGAATAAGGCCCAAAAAGGCCTTGGCCCAACTTCCAAGGTTTACCTAAATCGGTAACCTGTACAGCGCCTATAAATACGCGCCTTGTGTACAGGTACCGATATCGATCAATACACATTAGCCTTACGCTGCCAAATTTACTTCTCGATACTACAGAAAGAAGGTTTCACTGTTCTCGATAAATCTTATATCATTATATGAAATCCTTCTCTTCTGTCTATCGATGATGTTCATCTAGCTGATCGTTAGTCTGCTAAACTGGGACCAACAATATATATATATATATATATATATATATATTAAAGTATTATATATAAGTGTATTACTCATCTTATAGTAATATACTTATATATTATATACTATAAACATTATATTATATATTAGTTATAAAATAATCTACTTATATACCTATATTATATTAATAATATTTATTATATACTTAATATATACTTATTATCTACTTATACATCTCCATCTTCATCTTCTCCAAACCTCTCTACATATACAAATTATTTATATAATTATTATATCTACTTATATATTAATTATCTACTTATATACCTATATTATATTACTAATATTTATTATCTACTTAATATATACTTATTATCTACTTATACATTTCCATCTTTTTAATATTTACTTTGTTATATATATTTATTGTTATTTACTTATATATATTAAAGTATTATATATAAGTGTATTACTCATCTTATAGTAATATAGTTATATATTATATACTATAAACAATATACTATATATTAGTTATACAATTATATTAGTTACACTTGAATTCATAGTAATTAAATTCATCGTATTAGTTAATTTTTACATTTTTCATTAAAGTATAAACGTAGTTAATTGTTACATTTTTCATTAAAGTATAAAACTAGTTAATTGTTACATTTTTCATTCAAGTATAAAACTAGTTAATAGTTACATTTATCATTCAAGTATAAAACTAGTTGATAGTTACATTTTTCATTTCCCTATTATTTAATTTGTTAATTGTTGCATTCATCATAAAAGTAAAAAACTAGTTAATTATTAATTGTTGCATTAAAGTATAAACTAATAAAAGTAGTTAATTTTATTAGTCGCATTTTATTATTACTATTGTACTCATATTAAAACATTTGATATCATATAATATTTGTTATATTTTTTAGATGGACCGTGCCAGACATTTTAAATAGTACTTATAAATTTATTAAAGTTCTTCTTAGATATAAAGAACATTTTCCTGCTTTTTTTAAGACAATATGATAAATATATTTTAAATCCCGCTCACATCGACACTTGCGAAAAAATTGTAATGTTTTGATATATTTTAATAATGCAACTGGAAGTTTTAGTCATGTTTATAAACCTACCTCAAACGAATTTATTCGTGAAATTGTTAATCTCGCCGGTGCTTTTAATGAATTTGAGAATGCCGCTTACGTGAGTTATTTTTGTGGTTTTATGAAAGAAAAGTTTCTAAAATATTATGCACATATTCCGCATATTTATAGTATTGCATTTATTCTCGATCCTCGTTATAAACTTGGTAATTTGGAAGAATGTTAGTTTGAAGTTCTATTATAATGCTTTTTAGGTCCATTTCCAATGTATGATGATAACGACATAGATCTGCAAGTTGAATACAACGATGTTAGTAATTTATTTTATGCCTTATTTAATGAGTTTCGTGCACAATATGGCAACGCGCCCCCTCCCCCGACACACACATCTTCATCTAAAGGAAAATCACTTTTTAAATATGTTTTTGGCAATCTTATGAAAAAAACTAAAACAACTCACACTACTTTACAAAGCGCACTTAATGAGATTTCTTTGTATATAAATTATGAGGTAGAATTTGACGAAAATGAGGAGTTTGACGTTCTAAAGTGGTGAAAGTCAAAAGAAAGAATGTTCCCAATTTTGGCACGGATGGCTAAGCAAGTGCTATCAATGCCGGTTTCAACAGTTGCCGTGGAACAAGAATTTAGTTCGGCCGGCAACGTTCTAACGGCATCTAGAACGAGTTTGAGCGTTGAGTCTCTTGAGACGCTTATATGCTAACACGATTGGTTGAAGGGCATACGTAGATGTCAAGAAATTAGCATCAACCCCTCCCAAGACTTTATGGATGAATCAACAACCAAGGGTGGCTCCTATGCCGAAGATTCTGATTGATTAGTATTTTACAATTTATTATAAAATGTATTTCATGTTTTAATTTTTCCTTCAATTCTCTACTGTAATTTGTAAAGCTGTAGTTCATATTTCAAATAAACATACATTCTTTTTTTTTATATGTAGCACTTCTCAAATTAATTAATTAATTAATTAGTTAGTTAGTTACAAACTTACCACTTACAACTTAGAATTTGTTTTATTAGTATTTTTTGAAAAATGTATTTCATATTTAAGTTGTATTAATAAGAAAAGAAAAATATATATATAACCTAGGCCCGATCCGACCCGGCGGGTGACCCGGCCCGAACCGGCACCAGGCGAAGAACGGGCCGGTTTCGGGGCCCCCTTTCCAGGACCGGAGGCCCGACTGGGCCTAGACCCGGCCCGAAACGAGTCCAGCTCTAGTTCAACCTTACTTTTTCTGCATATTTCACAATTCAGGCGCGAAAGCAAAAATTACGTATTTAAAAAAAAGTTGTGTGATAAACCTGATAACATTATTTTATATTAGATCAAAACGTATCATGACAATCTCTCAGAAGGAGAGGGGTAGTTGATTAATGGTCATTGTGCTTGTCAAAACGATTTCCGTTAATAAAAAACAATTATTCCTAAATAAAGGGGTCACACATTCATAAAACAATATATTTTCATTAAAGAAGACAAACGACACGTATGGTTGTGAAAGCACACAGTACCCAAAAGTCCCACTTCTCTCAATGATTCAATTCCAACCAAAATCCACCCCCACTTGTGCATTTTCTTTTTCAAATTAATAATCTTTTTCAACGGCGAATAAACGGAGAGAACAAATCATATGGGAACCTAATAATAATGCACCCAGCGTTGACCAACTGCCCAACTCTCCTTGTCCTCTTCCGTCCAAAACGTGGACGGTGTTGATTTTTCCACTCAGGCTTAGACCTTTTTTGCTCCTCGTCCCCTCTCTGCGCCGTTCGATCGATTCAGCCGACGGCTAGGATGACTCGAGGATCAGAGAAGCGGGAGTGTCTGTGATTGACTGTGAGTGGTTGTGATCTCCTTCGTAGGTTACGATTAACATCGTTGGATCATCCAAAGCTCGTTCCACATGCTTCTTCGCTGGACATCCTCGTACGCTACTACACTTGTAATAACCCCTGAATTCAAATATTACAATTATATATGATCAGATTTAGTACAAATTTTAAAACTATATATAAAATATGATTAAAAATGCAAGTATGAGGTGTTTAAAATTGATTATGCTTCTATTTTTTTCTAAAAAGAGAAACATAATCACAATCTGTTTTGTAGTAATTAATCGCCCCCAACTTTAAAAAAAAAACAGCTTCTCGGGACAATATGGAACTGTAATATAAAGTACTTTTACGATCAACACTAATAAATATTTCTGCCTTCAGAATAGGTCAAAGTGGTTTTAAGAAGAAAATTCAAATACCATTATGATTTGTTTTACACTTCTTTTTAGATTGTCTTAAAATAAACTTTATACGGAGTACATCATATTTTCTTTTTTTTTTTTGAAAAGAAGAATGTGATCCCATCATTTGACTTTATTATAATGGAATTTCAATTACAATTTTTCCTTCCAAAATCACATTTGTTAATAATTGTTTCAAATCAAAACTAAACATATAAAATGAGACAGTGGGACAGAGATAAATTGATAATCACCTATAGTCCCGTTCTTTACCATAAATTTTAATTTTTTTTGAAGAGACCATAAATTTTAATTTAGTTGAGAAAACCATAGAAAAGAAATAAAATTGATTTTTTTTATATTTTTAAATTACATACCTAGGGTGAGGGGAACCCTTGATGGGCTTTTGGCCATACTTTCTCCATGAAAAATCATCCGGCGGAATATCAGCCAACTTCATGCTGATTGCCGGTATTCTTACCACTCTTAGGACCTTTGATTTCCTGATTAAGATCAAATGAACGTGTCAGATTAATAGTCAATGCAATTAATATAGGGCAATTAATACTATTAAAAGTCAATTTAAATGCTTTCTTGGCGTTGACTTTACCTTTTCTTCGGGCAGTGGCAACGTCCTGATCCGGACCCACCCCCACTAGCGCACTTGAGGGCAGAATCGTCCATCGAATGGCACTTCCGCTTAAACGACGACGTAGACAGCGGGGGCCTACCGGCCGACGACATGCTCGAGAGATTAGTCCACTGGAAGCTCTCTGTATCTCCGGTCAACGACGACATGAAAGAACTCGGCACCGATGACGCCGGAGAGGCGGCGAAGTTGATGGTGGAAGACGGCTCTTTCCGTTCCGACGCCGCGGGCACAACCTTCGGTGTTTGGTGGTGGTTGTGCGGAAGCGGCGGCAATAGTTGAATCTGCGACGGGGTAAACATCTTCTGGCCACCGGTTTGCGGCTTCTCGGAGCTCTCAGTAACCCGGAACCGACCCGAAACTTCGGGTTCCGGCTGAGGATCCGTTTTCTTCGTGTGTCGCGGAGCCGTGTTCGCGGTGTTACAAATCGGGCCCTTCCGGAACCGGGCGTGGCCGGTCCGGTTCCGATCAAGCAAAGAAATGAACTTTTTGAACTTACCCACGGCGGCGTCCGCCACGGCTTGGTAATCGGCGGAGGGTTCCACGGCGGACGAAAAGCAAGTATTTTGGTGGCGGGATTGAGAGAGCAGCCTGATTAGATTCTCAACGCTCTGCATCCCGGCGGCTGCCGCCTCTTGAACGGCGTCGTCCTCCATCTTTGCGCCGAAGACGGTGGTTCCGTAACCGGACATTAACTCCACGGCCATTAAGTCAACTATTTCCTGACCATTTACCAATCAGAAAAGCTCTAAAGATCTCTGAGACTATTTTGGTCAAAGAGATAAGAAAGGAAAAGGAATTGTGAGAGAAGAGGGGATTTAACGGAGGCCAGAGACGATTAAAATAGAGCCGATTTGGAGGTGGGCAACAGCGAGTCAAACATTTGATGCTCCGTTCATATTTCTCTTTCATCTTTATTTCCTTTGTTTTTCCTATATTCGAAAAATGTTGTTTCTGACTTTATTTCAGTCAAAGATGGGAGCCAATGGGAGGGCGACGCGTGGGATGCTAAGGGAGGAAATACGGTTTTGGGCATTGACCGAACCATAAATTGCAGGATCGGGTAACGGGTAATCCGTTGGACGCTATTGGTTGGGAGCAGAAAGTCAAAAGTAGAGTATGGACCGTTAAAGCAGAGACTCGGTAAAAACGGGGGTGGAAAGTGTGAAAGGCTGGACTGGTGGACTGGTACTGCTGGCGCCAGAGAGGAAATATTTGACCATTTAACACCTCTCGGTCAAGTGATGGACAGTTAATAGATGGACGGGTAATTATACATACGGTGTATTTATTTCTCGTAAAATTAATTTTCATCCGTTTTTATTTTGTCTTTCCTTTTTGATTTTGTTCGATCTTTTGTTAAAATAAGGATATTTTCTTTTGGACTAAAATTTGCCGGTCTGGTATGGTCTATCTGTTTAAATTTGGTCTGGTCTGAACTGGTCTGGTATACGTCTGGTCTTTTTGTATTTTATAATGGTCCTGGTCTGGTCTGTTTAAGTCTGGTTTGGTCTGGTATGGTCTGGTCTGGGACAGAAAACAGCCCTAAAGAAAACATCATAAATCTATCTAGTTGAAATTTATTTTGCTAAAAGTTTAAATATAGTTTAGTCTTCACAAACATGACACACTTTATTTTAAATTTCTTAAAATTATTTTCTTTTGTTTTTCATCCTCGTGATATGTTATATTTTAGTTTTACTTCACGTCCGACTCTGAAACAATTCTACTTAGTTTTTTTTTTTCGGTTTCATCCGTGTCATATTCTTTTTTATGATAAAGGATCTCCAGTATCCACCAAGTCAACTTCGGTAGAAACCGAGAACAACAAAATAAGTCCAAAACTGCAATCGAGATCGAGGTCGTCCCTCGTCGAGGTTGGTAACAATTCCAGCACTACAGTCGAACTCAAGGCCAACTACCGCACCACGAGGTTAAGAGAATCAACAAGAATAATTACAGCTTCATTTTATGAGATGAAGTTACTTCCCTCTAGCCTAAACATGCTATACGCGAGTTTGACCTCTGCTACCGAGGTTGGAGCCTCATTCGGAGATTGTGGACACTTAGGCCCTGTTTGGTTGGAGGGTTTCGGAGGGGAGGGGAGGTAAGTGTGGGATTTGTGTGTGTTTAGTTGAAGGAAATAGGATGGAAGGGGATGAAAGTAGAAGACTTCCAAAATCCCCCACTTCCTCCCATTCTAAACCCCCCAAATCGGGGTATTTCGAAGGAAACGTGTTGATAATCACAAATTATCCATCTCCTATGTGAATGGACAAAACGTTATACTCTGTAATATAAAAAAGGTAAAAAATAAAAAGTTTTGAAAAATTAAAAAAATTTAAAAATTTAAAGATTAAAAAATTAAAAAAATAAAAAATAAAAAAAATAAAAAAAAAGTAAATTTTAAAATTGAAAATTTTAAAAAGTAAAAAAAATTAAAAATTAAAAAATTAAAAATTAAAAAAAAACTAAAAATTAAAAAACTAAAAAAAATTGTAAAATAAAAATTTTAAAAAAATTAAGAAATTATAAAATTAAAAGTAAAAAAAATATTATGACTCATGACCATATGGGGTAATATTCACCATAGTTAGAGATGTAACTATTTTTTAAAGTAAACTATCAAATAATGGTAAATTGGGAAAATATTTTCATTAAACATTTCCTCCTATTTTCCCCAACCAAACACAAAATTTTATCAAAATCATTCCTTCTCTTTCCCTTCCCTTAGCTCCTAGATTCTCCCCTTCCCTCCCCTCCTTTGAACCAAACAAGGGCTTAAATTCCACAGTGATCACCATTTCTAATCTCAAAGTTTATTGTTACACTGCCAAATTTCTTACTCGATCTACACTTAACTTATTTTCAACCCTCACTCGGTTTCTATCCACCCCTTGATCGGCAAAGCCATCAATTCGCTTTTCTAAAATATGTATTAAAAACAATGTAAAAAAGAAATTAAATACTTTTTGAAAGACATGACAGACAATTAGAGAAAACTTATTAGCCGGGATTGTTTCGTTGTTAAACGGAGGATGTTATCATTAGTCATAGACTAAAAAGAAAATCAACATAAATTTCATGGATGAAAACGAAGAAAATATTTTACTACGACATAAAATATAGTGTGTCATATTTATAGAGATTAAAAACATATTTATACTTTTAATAAATAATGACGAGCAAATATAAGATATTCACCTCGAATATAGCCCTGCGTACTTTAAGTGCAATATTTATTGGTTGGTCTGTATTTTTTCTTTTTGTGCTTTCTAATCTATTTAGTTTATATTTTAAAAACTTTTATCTTACGAGTATATTTTACAGAGTAATGTTTAATTTTCCTTTCTATACTACTACGTATATGTATGTAATCTTTCAACTTCTATTTCATACTCTTTTGGACCTTTCATACTTTTTACAATTTTCAATTATAATCATTACACAAGATAAACATATACGAATAACTAATTACCTAACCTAGCTACTTCCCACTCCCAACGTTTTTCTTCGATCATCAATGACTTCAAAATATAAAATTTTACCTATTTATTATCACAGAATGGCGTTTTCTACTTACTGCGGGTGTTGAGGTTTATTCCTTCAACCCTTGGACCCAACACGTAAGCCCAAAGATTTCGAGTGGAGTGAGTGTATGAGTGTCTGGCCCAACAACTATGAGATGGAGCAGGAAACAAAGGTAATAGCAGGCAATGTAAATAGGTATTATTAACTTCGTAATAACTCCCCTAAGTACAATCTACTTGCTAAAAAGGGCACGTCGGCCGTTCGTCTTACAAGGCAGTAGAAATACTCCGAGTAAGAATACAATAGCTAGATGCTAAGAATAGAAAGTTGCCAACCCTTTACAATGAAATAAATGCTTCTATTTATACCCACCAATGGGCAGGTGGCTGTACTGACGTGGCAGCCTGTGGACCGCTGGTGTCCCAACTACCAAATCTTCAGCATTAAATGCACTTCCCGCCAGAATCTAGGTTTCCCGCCTGATTAGTGGGGACGTTCGTCCTCCCGGGAAGTGAATTGGATTGCTCCAAGTGACCCTCGAAAGATATCGGCTGTTCGTCTCCTGGCCTTGTAGATATTCACCATGTGAACTGGGTCCCCTCCGATGACTACAGGCTTGCCCCGGGGACGTTCGTCGCCATCCCTGGTGGCCCGTGGTCCTGCTCCTTGTCCCCGCACAGCCGTTCGTCGGGATGAGTCTGCTGGGCCTGAGCCCCCAACATCAGACGTTCGTCCATCCTCAAGGGACATGGGCCTGTGGGCTGGCCTGGTGTTTTAACTGGACGTGCGTCTGGCAATATGGGTTAGTGGGCCGGACCTCGGCTTGGGCCCTTAACCCAACACAAGTCCCCCACTTCTGATGTTCTGGGCTCGCGCAGGACATAAGGAAGTAGGAATCCCCTCAAGGTAGACGTTCGTGTCTTGATACTTTGTGTTTTCTGCACCCGTGGGAAGCGTACGCTCGTGGTCATGGTGCTTGACAGCTGTCGACGGTTCAGGAAACGAGGTGACGGCTGATGTTGCGGCGGAGCATTTCCCGAGGAAATGTCATCATTACGTTTTTGCCCCACGCACAGCGCGTGGCCGGAATACGCTCCTTGCCACGTGTCAGCCCCTCGTTGGCTTCCCCATCGGTGTTTTCTCCTTTAAATGCCGGGTTTTCCCTCTGAATTAGGGTTCCCAATTTCTGCTCTCTTGCTCTCGATTTTCCGCAGCTCTTCAAGTCTTCTTCTGAATTCGGCTAACCCCTTTGTAAGGTAATTTCCCCCCTCTGCTCCTTTTCTTGTTCTGATTCTTAGCCGAAATGACCTCGATGGAGATTTCGTCAAGCTCTGATTCCGGTTCGTCGGGTTCCTCCTCGGGCTCCTCTTCGGTCGATGTGAGTGCTCGCTCCCCCGGGAAGGCCAGCATTTCCGGGACCTCTGGTTCGGCCACGACGGTGGGGACCATCCGGGCTGATGGCGAGCCGGATGATGTGTCTCAAAGTAGTGGGAGCGACGCCGGGGACGGGGGTGCTGACGGGGCAGTAGATGTTATTGACGCAGTCCCCCTGAATGAGCGTCCTGCTGATTATGATTCTGGAGAGGAGGCCGAATCCGGTTCCGATATGGAGGTGTATGACCTGGGCATCCCTACGGATATGGAGCGCCACATCTGCCCGATCAGGAGCGCCCTCGACCATGACCAGGTCCTCTCCCGTGTGGCCCTCAACAAAATCCGCACCTTCTTCCCCCCGCCGTTCGTCTGGAGCGTGAGGGGCGCTGAGCACGTGATGAGGAGACGTCCAGGGATGATCATGCTTCACTTGGACTCCGTCGAAGCTGGGCTGCGGTTTCCCCTTCACGCATTTTATGTGGAGTTCTTCCACTGCTTCCAAGTGGCCCCGGCGCAATTCATGCCAAACTCCTATAGGTTCATATCGGCCTTCTTGGTGCGCTGCAAACTTGCGGGGGTCGAAGCCAGCCTGGATCTGTTCCACTACTTTTACCGGATCACTCCCCAGAACTCCGACGGGTATCTGAGCGTGGCCGCTCGTCCGGGGAGGAGGCTGTTTAAGAGCTACCCCTCCTCCATCCATGACTGGAAAAACCGGTTCTTCTTCCTTCGCTATGATGGTCCTCCCCTCCCAGTTCGTTGGAATGGCTATCCCCCGAAGATAGAGTCGCCGGAGTTGACCGACGATCTGAGTGAGGCCGTGGAAGGCATCCTGCAGGGCGGCATTCGCCCCATAGCTGGCTATCTGACCTTCGAGGCGCTCTCGGGGGCAGGCATAGGTACCGCCCGTGTCCTTGGACTCCTTCCACCCTTCGACGCTCGTCTCGGGGCACCGGGCGGTCCTGTCCTTCGAGGTGAGTGTCCTTTT